GCCGAGGAACAGTAAAATGCAAGCTGACAACATCTCAAGTAGTCTCGTTGAATTCGTTTGCTGCTTAGTTGTGCAGCATTCACATATTGCTCTTCATTCTTTTATGCTGCAAATTCATTTTGCAAATAGATGCTGACCTAATATCCATCCATCCATATCATGTAACTTATGTTGTCCATCATTTAAGTCTTTCTCTCCATCTATATGCCTATCTGCAGCGGTCTATTTATTCGTGGTTGGCTAACTGCCTGCCAGGTTGGTTTATCTCATATCCATTTCTCTCTCTTTTAACCTTGTTTTCTATTCTGCCGTTCCCTCCCTCTCTTTCATTTCGTTTTGCTCAGCAGCCTCCCCTCCCCCTAACACCCGCAGGTTGACGAATACAATTGAATCAGTCCATTGCACATTTCGTTTGAGTGCAACCCAGCTATGCGTCCCCTCCCCGTCGTACTGAATAACTCCCATTTCACTTCATATGTGTGAGCGATACAATTTGCCGTTTGCGCCACTCTGCGTTTCTCAGTATATCAGTTCCCATCCCCTTTCTTCAATATAAATATTAATCATCTCATACTCATAATTCTTTTATGTTCGAATGTTCGAGCACATACAAATCTAAATATCGTATTCATTGCAATAATCTGCCCATCTCTTCATTTATCATTTCAGTCAGAGTTGATCTTATTATCAGTCAATCTGAATTTTGATTCCTCATCGTATCTTTTTAATAACGCAATATGGACACTTCTGGTAGTGTTACGAAAAAAGAGGTGCCATCATCTTCTTCTCGTGCTACGAAGAAAGTAAATGCGCCAATAGATGGAGCGGAAAATGATGAGGCTTCCAAAGATGGTGATGGGGATAACGCAACGATGATATTGTCTTGCGCAAGTAACGATAGAAAAGATGGAGAAGAGCGAGGCGATGATGATCAGATAGCCGAACAGCCCAAGCAGAATACTGTAAATAGTGCAGGTAATGAAAGTAAAACTGATGCTGCTTGCACTGGTAAAAGTATGGATGCGAAATCAGCTGCTGCATCAACTTTGCACACACTCATAACGAATTTGCAACGAAGACAGCTGCAGCAACAAAAACAGCAGTATAAAAGTAATAAAGCGTGCGTTGATGAGGATGACGATAGTAATTCGAATGCTAATCATGTTGCTCGTCGTTCAGCTTTCACATTCGCTGCTCATGCTTCTGTACCTGCCGATGGTGCTGCTAATTCATTCGTTAAGAATAGCGCTAATCAATTAGATATTATAACGCATGCTGACATTATTGCTGCTGCTGGCCAACAACAGAATTCGGAAGTTGAAAGTAGCGGGAAGTGTAAGGGAACTAGTGATGCTACTAAAATTGCTTTGAACAGGAGCAGCATCACTTCTTCGTCGGATATGAAAAAAGTGACGAATTTGATGGGAGGTCCAGCTGTGAAACGCATACGTCGCATGAACAACAATAATAACCATGCCGCTAGTGGCGCTGTTTCAACACTCAACAATACTGCATCACGTGGTGGTAACACTTCAGCTATCACTTTTCCAATATCTAATAGTTCTACTTCTCGTGCAGCATCAAAATCGACTTCTGCTGAACTTCTTAGCTCTCTGACAGCACTGAATAGCATTTATTCATCCCTAACTAATTTGAATGGCGCTTTAACGGGAAACTGTGATAATGTGAATGGTACTGGCTTGTGTTCGAGGAAGCTATCATCATTAACGGAAAATAAAAGTAATAACATAAGTAGTAGCAGCGATACTGCTTCCTCTCCAGCAGTGAACAGTTTAGAATATTTGCTACAAATGCAGAATATGTATCAGACAACATTACTCAATAATATGCTCTTGGGTGCGACATCATCAAATGGTGCAGCTGCATCGTCACCTGCATCCACTTCCTCTTCATCTGTAACGATCACGCCAACAAATGCTCATCAGTTGAGTGCAAATGCGACAGCGATGTTATTACGTATGCAGCATTTAAACGCTTTGCAGCAAGCTGCTGCATTAACACATAATTTGAACACAGCAGCAAACACGCAACAGATACAGCAGCAGTTGTTGTTCCCATTCCAGAGTAGTTGCGGTGCTGCTGGTAACAATGACAGTACAGCTGGTGAGGTTGGTGCTGCTTTTACCACTCAACTACAAGGCACTGCTGACCTAGCAGGAAGGCAAGCGGTATCTTCATCGAGCGACAGTCGCACTGGTGGTTTATCACCATCAGCTTCTTCATTAAATTCGTTATTCTTATCAGCACCGTCATTATTCCTGCAACAACAAAATGCGCCTGCGACTGCTATGACGAATAATCCTTTTATTCTAGCTGCAGCACTGGATGCTTTACCATCTAGCTATAATAATAATAATAATGAAATGTTCAATGAAAGTACGACTAATAAGGGTATTGGTACGTCGAATCAACCGTCTTCCCAGTTCGATGCAGCAACTGCGACACTGTTCTGTAATCTTATGCTGCTGCAGCAACAGCAACAATATGCATCAAGTTTACCAGCATCAGTATTTCCATCGGGACTTCTTTCTGGGTCTTACTCGAATTCTGCAACAGACTCTGATCGTATTACTGCAAATAAACAAACCTTAGCAAATAGCAGCAATACACCGCAAAATATTACTGACAGCAGGTGTGTTGGAAGTGATGTGAATATGAGTACAAATGAGCTGTTGCTGTCTGCATTAGCAGCGGCCAGAATGAACGCGACGGCTGGTGATAACAGTAAGTGTAAGGGCAGTTCTAAGAATGAAAAAAGCGCAACCACTTCTCTACCAACTAAAATTCTCCAACAGACACCGATCTGTCGACGAACTTTAGAAGCGCGATTCGCACGAATATTGGCACAAGAACTGGAAGCAGCGTCTGATGAGGAGCATCACGACATAGTGCAACTGAATATCATCGATAATGCAAATACAGTTAGCAATAGTTGTGGTGATAAGGATGGTACTGATAAAGATGATGAAATACTAATTGATGATGACAAGATTGATGAGAATATTGTAGTAAATGAAAAGAAGAATAGCGAAGCAAGTGACAACGGTGACAGTAAAATTGTTGATGTCAATGAAACGTCGAGGAACGGTTTGATTATGATGGATAATGAGGATGCGAGTGGCGTCATAACAAGTATGAAGGAAGGTGTGGATGATAGTTCAGTCATTGATGCAAAGTTGCGAAATGATAATAGAGAACAGCACTTGTTGTTATTACCAGCACTCATGAGCAGCGATCGTGCAAGTGAAGCTCTCGAAGATGGTTCTGATGATCATCACGTGAATACATCATCAAACCAACTCACCGATTCGTCGCAGTTTTCATCAGTGATCTCGTCCAAGTCAGATGACATCTCGCGGTCATCATCAGACCAGAGATCCTCTTCTCCCAACAGTACATCCACATCCACCCAGTCGGATGTTGCAAAAACGCCCGCATTGGTAGCCTGATCATCACCAAGTAGCTAATCCCAGCTCTCATCTTTCAACTGATGCTCGTTAATATTGTTATCATTATTGCCATTATTATTAAAAGTATCGTATTATTACTCCTGTAAATGAATTTTATTACCATGTATCATATTATGCGTTGTTACTATTACCGTCAGAAACATTATTCTGATTCGTAATTTCATCGTTGTATTTGTGTTGATATCTTGTCTTTCAACGAAGTGTGATCACACGTACCTCCGTTACTGTCTCCATCCATGCCAAAAATAACTCATTATTTCCTCGACGTTGCTTTCATTTTGTTCGTTTTATTATTAAAATCTCTCCGAAAAGTTGCCTTACCCAAGCATTCAATAAATTTCGATAAAATATTGTTGAAATATCCGTTAATAGATACTACTCTCCAATATTTCTTGACTGCATCCAATTTGTTAGTTCCATGAACTTGAACTTTTTGTCACCTTCCCATTACCGTAGCAATAAAGGGCGTTTCGGTAAGTCAACTTTCGGCACATCCTTTATGGATTATTCAGTTGTCTTGTTACCTTATTATGCCTCGCTTTTTCATCGTGTTCCCATCTTAACTCCTATTTAAGATTGTCGTTTGAGGTGACTGATACTGTTGCCATGATCGATGTATCATTTTTTGATTCGTTTCTTTTTTGATTGCCCAAATCCTCATCATTGATTATATCATATTCCCAATTGATTAATTATGCATATCACTAATTAAGTTGCTACTGTTTGTAATGTTGTTGTAGCAGTTCGTACCAATTTTTTGGGATCAGTTCTCCTGTTTAGTTGAATATAAATCAGTTTGAATATAAATATTAATTGTGTTAATTAATTGAATTAGTTGAATTAATTGAATAGTGAGCTCTTTTGATGTGCTGTATTTTATGTTTTTTATTTTGTTGTAGAGATATCCTGTTCTATGGCAAGGCATTGTGGCACTAAAAACCAACGAGGCGCGTATACAGATGCATCGAGTTAGTGTTTGCATTCTTACTTGGTGTCGTTTTTGGTTGATTACGTGACTATCATGCAGGTTTTATTCTTTTAAGGTTGGCGGTAATATTGAAATGTTGAAACGATCTTTGGTTCAGCTGGCAACGATGAGCAGTAATATGCCAGTGATACGAATCAACCAGCGAATGCGTATGGAAGCCAATCAGTTGGAGAGTATGCATAAGAGCTATTATTATTTTTATCATTGTTGAGTGTTGTTTTGGTTATTCTAGATAGAATTCAATTGACTTAGATGCCATGAGTTTCATCATCCGTCGTTGGCAGATATCGAAGTTATCTATTTTTGGAGTTGATTTGAGGATTGATTTTGAGGTGTTCAAAGTAAAATGCTGGATGAGCAGTCGTATATCGCTCTGATATGTTTGTCGTGTGGCTTCAACAAAGATGATATTCGTAATCAGTCAGAAATGTTGAAAGAACGGTTCGTTGATTATTTAGAATCGAAACAAGCTGCTGGTATTTGTAATGTTGGAAATGAGGTAAGCGAATACTTCTGCATCGATTAA